CTACAATAATCTGAACCCTGCTTAGCTTCTTCACGCCAGCTATACTTAAAAGATATCTCCTCGCTACTACTTGTACCAGTAATTTGAAAGATCGGGTATTCATGACTAGAGGTGCGTACTTGCTTAGACGCAACTGAAGAAAAACAGATTCGCATTGCTCTAGTAGTTTCTTTCTCATATCCAGTTTAGCAATCACATTAGTGTAATCGCCTCTCCGATTCGTGCTGCTTCCTAGCCCTGATTACCATTACTTGTGAATGCCATCCCGAGATACATATCTTTCTGTACCTGCTTCAGTTGCACTGCTATTGCAGAACACAGTGAGTGGTTGGTCATTCTCTAAAATATAGATGTGGTCAAGTTGATTCTCGTTTCGAATTCCCTAGAAGTCCTAGATGTGGTCAAGTTGATTCTCGTTTCGAATTCATCACTGGGAGCAACGAAATATCCAGTACTTCAAGGAGGTCACTGTGGAGAATGCGAACATGACAAGATCGTTTCTAAACAGCAGGTGACTACCGAAGTTTCTCTGGCCTATGCCGTGTATCCTAATCCAGTCCATAAAAATTATTATAACAGCAGATACGACAACGCACACCTTTGTGGAACCCAACAAGAACTTTGAAAGGTACCATCTCCTTGTCACTAATCTTGACACAGATGTCCCAGACATCGTGCAAAGATTTTATGGCCCAGATTGGCTTGTCATTTATCCTATACTTTTGCAGCATTCTCCACAACCTTCGTCCGGGTCATCAAGTTTTCCTGGTCTATGAAAGGAAGATTAAATTTTCTAATGTTCTGAGTATTTTCATGGATTTGACTGAAAATACAGTAATCATGCACAGTGTTGCAGCCATGGTGAAAACCGATTTGCTTTTCCTGAATCTTATGATCTAAGAGGTCTCTGTTACAAGCAATTTCTTTCCGAGCAGATTGCACAGAGATGCATACGTAGCTGCTGCAGTCTCACTGATGCCCTTTGTCGGATCATTTGGATTTAACTTCTCCAAAATGCCAGTTTTACTGATTCTCCCGAACTATCCGCCACTTTGTATACATGAGGCACCCAAAAATGTTATTTCGAATCAAGACTAATATTCACAGTTCAGATTTCGTTTTTCGCTATTACCACTTTTGATTCGGTCAAAATAGTCGCGCTGGGAGAAGTTCAATTGCGACAAAACAGAAATTAATTTCGAGTCCATGATAAAAACAATAATATCTTGGTAAACTTTATCGGTGCTCAGCCGAACAGAGTTTACGAACGTAAAGAAAGACGTGGTGCTCAAAATTTTCAGAAGCCGTTACTAATGAAACACCAGAAGGTTAAAGTAGACCACAACTCCGCGAGCACAACAACTAAATGAAAGGTAAACTGACAAGTCTGTCGGCGATAAAAACGCAAATGACAGAACGATATATACGTACCCCACTTCTTCGTCCGCGAAGTTCGGCTTCCAGTCAGAAGTTTCGGTTAGTTTCTGGACTCGCACGAACTTACTCGCGCGCTGGAACTGCGATTCGATCCAGCGGGTCGCCTCGCGAGCAGGACCCGTTTCCTTCTTTAGTTTGTCCAACTCCCTGATAACCATGTTCGGAACAACGGTGACAAATTTCTGAGTCATCGCCAACTGTTTGATCAGCGAGAGTTTGTTGCACAGCGCCGAAGTGTCAGGCACCAGGTAGACCGGTACCCAGTAGGTACGATTCACATGCGCTAAGTCATCCTAAATTTGTGTGCTAAGAAGCACTCAGGAATCATCACAACTTCACCTCACCTTCAGCTTCAACTTTGCCATAATACGCATCAGTTCTGATTTTTTGTCTTCTTCCTAAAGCGAGCAATTCACCTACTGCGCTACATGTAGCTCATAATAATAATACATAACGTTCAGATTAAGGCACCGAGAGAAGTGACAGTTTCTACTGTAAAGCATTTGATAAAAAGTAAAATTTAGCTGACTCTGGATGTTACCGCGCCTCTGTAAATACAGTGCAGTAACAAGTGACAAAGTTTTATTTCCATCTTCAATAATTCTCCATATCGAACCATACGTTTATGTGAAAAGTCAAACCCGCACGTGTCACTAACTTCACCAACCTTTGCCTTGACTGTCTACATTTACTCGCCTCAAAATTAGTCAAAACGTAACTCAACTCAATCTTTCAATTCCATGTCACCACCTGATATGCTACCATCCACTGTATCTCAGCTCAAAGATCAGAAGACAACTTTTACTAAACTCATTGCCTTACATTTTTCATTAACTTGAAATTAATTTTAACTGTTACCACCGAAATTCGACTGCATACAGTGACAGATAAAAGAAACTTCCAGCAACATTTTACACTGGCAGAAGTATCTCATATCCTTGTATGAATGTACATTAACTTTCTCAGTAATTAACTCAGACTGATGTTTCTGAAAAAAGATCGCAGTAAGGGCTTCCGCCCATTTTCAGTCCGTACCAGTTAACATTGACAATAGCATAAAAAAGGTTTGCGTGTACACAACGCAAACAATATGGTCAATCGGTTGATTAACCAGCACAGACATTTTGACTAATAAGAGAGAATTAAGTAAAGTCTATTTTAAACATTATTTCTGCACAATATTGGTTACATGCCAATTAACGGCAATCCATGGGTTATAAAATTATTAGCGAATTAAACAAGTATTGTTATATGAGGTTACTAAATTTTATGCCAACCTTCTATATAAAAGCTCTAACTTAATATGCTATATAACATTGAGAATAACAACTACCTAACTTTATAAATTAACATGTAACTGTGAGAATATTACAGAGGAGAAGCAGGGAACGCCTTCAGTCAAAGAATGAAAACCCCCTGTCAAGCTGCAAAATATGGATTGTCGCATTAGAACGTGAACAACATAAGGTAACAAAACATCTGATAAGAAAACAAAGCCTCGTCAAAAATCAGGTCAAAAAACAATGTGAAAACATTTGTACAACACGCGGCAGAAAAAATTCACGTTCCCTGTTGGTCAGATTGCACAGGTATAATCAAAAAAGAAACTGTCAACAGTCGCATCTAAGAGGCACTAATTATTCAGACCTGCGACAACTTCGCCAGGAAAAAAGGACACGTATCTGATTGAAGTGAGTGAGACGTCTGTTGCCAAAAAACTACTTATCAGCAGCACGGACTGAAAGCTAGCCTTCTGGCTCCAAACGTTACAACTGCGGACCAGAGAAAAAATTCGGAAATCAATCCGCTCTATCTTGAAGAAGGTCCGGAAGACTCGAACTGAAACATTAATACTGATTAATTACCGATTGACAATATTATTCACGTTTGTACCAATATACTGTTTTATGCTAAAAACTGAATCTGCACTCTGGCACTCACTCTACAGATTACACAACTGTTTGCGTCTGCATTCGAATTCACTTACAACATTCTGCATCAGAGTGCGGCCCAAACATGCAACGAATTCCATTCGTGAACGATCAAAGTGAAACTCCGGCGTGTTCAGGCGGATTAGGTAATGGCCGAAACTTCTTATGTAGTAGATTCGAATGATCACCTAAAAAGTTGGGTAGAATCAGGCTGTAATTCCAAAAGTCGAGGGGGCTGAGTTTAAATGTAAACTAAACTATCATAAACAGTGCCGACCTGCTTATACATGGCTGTTAGCAACATGTTCC